GTGTTCGGCTCGTTTGTTAAGCCTAATGAGCCGAATACGAACAAATTCTTAAGCTCAAAATGTAAATGAGCAAAACACGAACAACAGTTTGTTGCTCGTGTTCGGCTCGAAATGACTCGAAAACAAAAATTATATAATTTTTTTTATATAACAATATATTACATATATTATTTACATTTATGTCTAAGTTTAAATCATAACACCTCTTGTGGCAATGTGGTTAGTGTCTTCTTTTGTATAGATTTTTTGTCTATATTTGATCCATGTTCGAATCTCACGCTTTACATCTATTTTTCTCAATTTCAATTTAACGAGCCAATTTCGAGCCGAACACGAACACAAATATTTAAATCGAGCTGAACACGAACACACTGTTCACAAGTCGATTTCGAACGAGCCGAACACGAGCCAAATCTGAGCGGCTCAACTCGCTCAAGCTCGGCTCGTTGACAACCCTAATTGGGAGAGAAAAAGGAGAATTTCATTTTATTTAAATTTTTTTTTTTTTTTACCGAATCCCCCTTTGTTTTTTATTTTTAAGGAATTTAGGTGGTGGAAGGCCAAATGTTGAAAGGTGGAAGGCCATACGACAAAAAGAATTTAAGCAGATTTCGGGTCTTTTTTTTTTTTTTTTTTTTTTTAAGGAAACAAAAGGTGGAAGTGGAAGGTCAAACAACAAAAGAGTTAATGTAGATTTCAATTTATTTTAAAAAAATAATTAGCTGTTGATATATATTTTAATTTGTAATAATTAAACAAAAGAATATAATTTTTTTTCTTTTTAAATATTTGAAATAGTTTTTATTTCTTATTTTTAATTTGGAATGAAGAAGGTAGAATGTCATAGGACAGAATATCAAAAGCTAGACGATAGAATGACATGAATTAATGCAAATTTTTTAAAAAAATTATTACTATTTAATGAAATACATTATTTTTGGGCCATAAACATTGGTTTTCTTAGCCTATAAAAAAGCAAAGAAAATGAGAATGTAGGTGGAGTCCTTGACTCTGCCTAACAAGTGGTTTGGGGTTTCCTAGAAGAATAAAGTAGTCTCAGTCCCGTGTAGCAGACAAACAACGAAATATTCTTTCGTGTTGAGGTGAAGAGGAAAGTCATTATTGTCGTGTGTAGCAGGCGAGCAATGAGATCTTCTTTGGCGTTGCGGTGCAGCAGAAAGTCGTTCCCGTCTTGCATAGCAGACGAGTAATGATATCTTCTTTCTTATTGTGGCGAATAGGAAAGTCCTCCTCGACCTATGTAGCAACCGAGCAACAAGATCTTCTACGTTGCGATGCAGCAAAAAGTCATCCCCATCTTGCGTAGCAGATGAGCAATGTGATCTTCTTTCTCGTTGCAGTGAAGAGGAAAGTCTTCCCCGTCCTGCATAGCAGACAAGCAACGAGATCTTTCGTATTGCAATGAAGAAGAAAGTCGTCCTTATTCTGTGTAGCAGACAAACAACTCGTTGCGACAAAGGGGAAAATTGTTTCTATCCTGCTTAGCAGGTGAACAACAAGATCTTCTTTCTCGTTACGGTGCGGTAGAAAGTCGTCCCCGTCCTGCATAGCAGGCGAGCAACAGAAACTTTTTTCGCTCAGTGACATGAAGAAAGTTATCTCAATCCCTGCCCAACAGGTGATTTGGGATCCTCTTGCTTGTTGTTGTTGTACATCTCGGTGGAAAAGAAGAGATGTTAGAGTTTTCCCGCTACGCTTTGAGGGGAAGAGTTTTATGATTCTGTAGTGACGATATCTCTTGTAGTCTTTGTACCAGTTCTTGGGTTTTTGTAGCCTTTAATCAACTGATGCGATATTTGTAGATAATGATAATTGTTTTTTTTTTTTTTGTGGTACATATTTAACATTGCTTCTTAGGTTGTTGTGGCTTCTTAATTGTATGAAATTTTGTTATTAAAGTTAGTACACACACTTTATAAAATTAAGAATCACATAACTTTTGAGGCTCGTGCCTTTTGTAGTAGCTTGAAATGAATCGGTACCTTTTGAGGCTCATAGCATTCTGAGGTCATTTTGTACATGTGTCTTCTGAAACTTATATTTTTTATGAGATCTTTGATGTACCTACGCTCCTAAGGCTTGTAGGGTTCTGTGGTTTTTGATGTTTCTGTGTTGTTTGAGACATATAGCTTTCTAAGGTCTTTGATGTGCATGTGTCTTATGAGGTTTGTAGTCTTTTGAGGTCTTTGATGTACATATTCTTCTAAAGCTTGTGGCCTTATAAGGTCTTTGAGTGGAGACTTTGTCAATCTCTTGCTCCCGTGGAGTCTTTCTAGTGAGTCTTGTTCACTACTAGCTTCTCATAAAGACTTGCCTCTTAGGCTGACATCTTCTCATTGAGTCTTGCCTCTTGGGCTTGACTTTCAGAAGTACTGTATCTTCCCATCGAGTCCTGCCTCTTGGGCCTGAATTCCAGGGGCACGGTAGCTTCTTATCGAGTCTTGCCTCTTGGGCTCGACTTCCAGGAGTAACGTATCTTCCCAACGAGTCTTGCTTTTTGGGCTCGACTTACAGTGGCATGGTTGTTTCACATCCAGTCTTGCCTCTTGGGCTTGACATTCAGGAATACTGTATCTTCCCATTCAGTCTTGCCTCTTAGGCTCGACTTCCATAGGCATGGTAGTTCTCATCGAGTCTTGCATCTTATGCTCGACTTCTAGGAGTATTGTATCTTCTCACCGAGTCTTGCCACTTGGGCTCTACTTTCAGGGGCATAGTAGCTTCTCATCGAGTCTTGCCTCTTGGGCTTGACTTCCCAGAGTACCGTATCTTCCCATCGAGTCTTGCCTCTTGGGCTTGACTTCCAAGAGTACCGTATCTTCCCATTGAGTCTTGCCTCTTGGGCTCGACTTCCAAGAGTATTGTATCTTCCCATCGAGTCTTTTCTCTTATTTTGGCTTTCAGAAATATCGTATCCTCCCATCAAGTCTTGCCTCTTAGACTCATCTTTGTAACTCAAGATACACTCCAAAAATTTGTCGGCCTTCAGTGGAGAACCTGTGGAAGTCTTCTTTGAGGGATTTCCCCTCATTCTGGAGAACTCCTGATAAGTGAGATGAATCTTTGATGATCCTTCAATTTGCTATGAATTGTTCTATGAATAATTTGACAAGCTCTTTAAAGGTGTTGATGGTGCTCCCTAGGAGAGAGTAGAACCATATGCTAGCTTGACCCTTGAGAGTCATCGGGAACACTTGACGGAGAAGCGCACCAGAAGCATGGTGAATGTGCATGATAGTTCGATAGTGATCGACGTGCTTGTATGGGTCGGTTACTCCTTCATAGGCATCAATGCTTGGGAGTTTGAAACATGTTGGCATAGGGTGTCGAAGAATCACATCAGCCAAATGAGAGGATTCTTGTAAGTTGAGTTGAGCAGGGAAGCGGTCCTCTTTATCCAGAGGGAACTCTTTTCGAACCAAACGTCGTAGCTCATCTTAGATGATATCAACATAATCAATATTAAGGCAAGGCAGTTCCAAGTGAGCTGAATGAGATGGATGAGTGAAACTTGTAATGTCAAGAAGATCGGTGTCTCGTCTCTGCAGGGGAATGGTTTCATCATTAAGAGAGAACCTAGTGACTGGGTATTTCCCGTTGAATGTTGAACTGGCGGTAAGTAAGTTCCATTGGGTTGTGGTTGTCACTCCCCGTGTAGGAGATGAAAGATCTCATGTTTAGAATTCTCCATCCTACGTACTCGATCTTCCAAAGAATGACCCAAGACATCATCGTTAGCAGGGTAATTCCTTCTTGAGTAGGAGGATGCAGATGCTTGATGAAATTATCTTTGTGACTATCTTCTGGAATGATGAGCATTGGAGTGGGATGCTCTGTTGTAAGTGTCACGCCTGGTGGCCATGCAACAATTCTTACAAGCATTTTAGCGATGAGAATGTTCTACTTCCCACAGACGACGCCAAACTGATGTGTGCTAGAAAATTTGCGGCGGTAAGAGTAATAGATTAACGTCTAAACATTACACGAGAATTAGACACACACTCAGGTAAAAGAAAAAAAATCAGCAATAACACCAAAAGTTTTTACGTGGAAAACCCGTAAAGTGGAAAAAACCACAGGGCCTAACCCAGTTGTTAAAATCCACGATGAATTGATGATTACAGAGCCCCTTGTCCCACAGACGGGAAAGGGTTACTAGGTTTTTCAAGTTACAATGTTGACTGACGGCTTCTGCTTGTTGGTAGTCGATGTTGATTGGTGGTGATAACGGCCGTCAACAGTGATTGACAATAATCGATGGTGGTTGACGGCGGTCGTGGTTGTGGCTGTTAGCAGTGGTCGAGGGCGACATGAGTAGTGTTGGACTTCAGCTCCTTCTTAAAACTTTAAGTTCTCTTTCAAGCCCCAAGCCCCCCTTCTCATGAGAGGGGTAGGGCTCTATTTATAGTGTTTTGGTTGTAATTAATGCAAGAATATAAACTAATTTGATCAGACGGTCTAGAGAACTTCCTTCAATTAAACAACAATTGATGGACATTTGAGTGTCTTAATCATTTCAGAATTGAGTGACCTTGGGCTCATTGGATTAGTCTTGCTGAGACGCTCGATTCGGCTATGAACTCACCGGATTCAGTATCTGTTTAACTTTCCAAATGTGTTTGAAAACCTTCTAAAGGTGGTCTAATGACTTGATATGAGCTTGATTTGACTCAGATTGGACTAATTTTGGTAATATTGGGTTCTTCTTGTCGAGTCGATCAGTTTGACTATAAGTTTGTTGAAATCAGAGTTTTGTTTAGTTGAATATTTCTTGCTCAAAAAGTTGAATCAAGATCTATGTCATGCCTCGAGATTTGTGCCAGATGATGAAATTTTATTGATGGCGTATCAGGGACAGATATCTCCAGAGAAATAAATTTTTGGAATTGATAAAACTTCAATAATATGAGTTTCAATTCTGATTGTGAATTTAGCTCAAAGATAGTTAATCACTCAAAATTGATTAGAGTTTTGGCTCAGATTGAAATAAATGAGTTGAGCCCCTTAAATGAAAAGAAAGAAAAGTCAAATATGAAAAACAATGCTCCTCATGAAGAAAACCAACAAAAGAAGTCCCTAAAATGAAGATTATCAAACATGACTATCGCACCAAGTAGCAACTCAACCAAGAAAAGTCACCAACATAAACCCAGAAGAAGAATCCGTCAGCAGAAGATGGTTAACAATCCAATAGCCAATTAGAAGCAACATGAATGAACTTCCTACCGCATCCATATAATCACTGCAAGACGGAAAAATCACAAAGAACCATTGCCCCAATCTAACTACAAAAGAACTAAATATCAAATAAACATGAAACTACCATCCATTCATTTAGACTATTTAAAATCAAAACATTATAAATATTCAAAAATACGGTTGAATTTTAATATCCAACAATCCAACACCCAATTATCATTTCTCATTGTTTGCATGAATGCTTCCCATAGCTCTTAAATAAAAACACATTTAATGTTTTCATAGTGGCAAATTATAACACAAGAGTAGCGGCAACAATTGTTTCTCATGACAAGTTACATAATAGTGATAGTGTTAAAAATGTATTTCACGTGAATGTCGAGAATTCGTATGCATCTTTTATGACTTGCGTCATAGAGATATGTTAAAATATTAGTGTTATGATATGCAGATAATTCAACCCTAAAAGAGTTGCCGATCAAGTGCATCGAATTCTCCTTCGGACAACCAATATATACATATATATATATATATATCTATGCATGTATGTATGTATGTACATGTATATGAATTGGTTGTGTACATACTACCCACAATATATATATATATATA